ACATTTCATTTCGTGGAGGTACATCTGGGCTAACAAATCAATTTTTACAACTTTTCCCATATAGGAACAACTTTATTTTCTCCAGTAAATAGTCATGTCCTTTTTAGACTAATTTGGGAATGAATCACTTTTTACTTACTTATAAACCGTAATTGTGGCACAAGGCCGAAAAAGGGAGGAATGAAGTTGACAGTTGAGGTTGGTCGTCATTTACTATCCTATACCTAGCTAATCCGATTGACGACCCATTCATTCGTTACAATTGACACTTTCCCCACAAAAACTCATCCATCACCAATCAATCCTCCAACACAATAACGCATACTGTCAAGGGGGACCTAAAACGCTCTCCATGACATAAAAATTTTTTTTATTTTTCTTTACTAAGGTTTTTGAATTCATTTTCAACTGATTTTTTTTAAAATAAAATTTTCAAACTGATCAGATTCTCAAAAAAATTCTAGATCGACTCGAGATTAAATTCCAAAATTGAAAACATTCATTTATGTTTGAGTTATTTTTTTTTTTTTTTTAAGTTTCGTGCGTGGTACACAGTAGTACACACTAATGTTTTTTGTTTTATCGGGATTTCCGACGCAGAATCAATGTCTCATTTTGAATTTTTTTCGAAACAATAAAATCATATAGTAAGTCAAGTTTTTAGCTCTTTCTTTTTTCATGAAAAAATTCCAAAACAAAAAAAAAAAAAAAACTGAAAGCACTTGTTTTTCGGACAATAATCATTATCATTTTCCCCATAATGCGCAACATAATACACAAAGTTTTTGTTTTGTTCGTCCCAATAATACTCTTGTTATTTTTAATAATTAAACAAGGAAACTATTAACTAGATTATTAAATTATTATTTCAAATTAGTTAGCATACCGTCAACAAAAAGGTTCCCGCCCTTCCTATGCGACGCTAAACTTGCGTTTGTTGTTGAGATTTTGTTTTTTTAGTTTTTTTTTTTTTTGTTTTTTTTTAAATATCTGAACAAAATATGTGGATACTGGGGTATTATTGAGTTTAAGTGCAGTGGTGAGGTGTTGCAACTGAGACGAATTCACAGTGGTCAGGAGAATCACATTTCGTAACTCTGCACCTGAGAAATGTGAACTTTACAGAGACAGAATCAAATTTAATACATTTTTTATGACTTTTTAGTTGATTGATCCTCGTCTCTTTAACAATAAGAAAAAATTGTAAAAAAAAGTCACTATAGTTTCTCAGTATTTTCAAAATAATTGGTCAATACAATACTCAATTGTTTTCTTTTTTTTTTTTTTAGCTGTTTTCCCAATTACCGTCCCATCCACATTTAAAACTTAGTTTTTCAGAAAACCGATCAATGTCTTTTTTTAACAGATTAGTAATTTTTTTATTTTTCTTTACAAATGTGAAATTTGTTTTGAGAGATTAATTTTAAGCCGAAGCGCAAAATTAGTCACGTTTTTCATGTTAATTTTTGCTTGTATTGAATAATATTTATCGCATATAAGTGCAAAGAAAAGTCACCGACAAGTCACAATGACACCTCATGCATAACTGATTGAAATGACTGCAATTGGTACGACTAATAACCATCTTGTAGTCATCACATCGGTTTTTTTTTTTTTTGTGGATGGACTATAGCTTTCTGATGGACAAAGTTTATTTTCACTTTACCCAGTTTCAAACTTTCATGTTTAACTTTTTCTAAAAATAGATTTATTTTAGTTTGGATAAAAATGCATTGAAATAAATGAAAACTGAAAACTTGACTTGCAATGATTGATTAGTAAGTAAAGAGAATTTTTCTTTTTTAGAGTAGAGACGCTTCTTTGAAAATTGCAATTTACGTTGTTTTAACGTCCTTTTTTATAGTAGAATCTTGCTTGGAGATTAAAATTTCTGGCTCTGTGGTAAATCTTCCGAGTTTACCACGTAAAATATTTATTTCCTTTTTTTTTTTTTTAGTACAAGTTATTGATTCTTCAGCCAGCAGATTATTCTCGTTTAAGAAGAAAGATGTTAAGATTTCTGGTTCCATGGTAATTCTTCCGAGTTTACCATGAAATGTGTACTATTTTTAATAAAGAATTTTCGACTCATTGTGTACCGTAATGTGTCGAATTATTCAAATCGCATTTTAGACAAAAAACAATGTTTGGACAAATGGTCTATCAATTTTTTTTTTGAGGATGGAAGGGAGTAGGATTGTTTGTATCGGTTGATTTTCTTTTGTTAATTTCAATTTAAAGGTTTTGGAAAAATTCCGAGAATAAGTGTGTACTGTAACTTAATGAAAAGTCATGTTTTTTTAACTTATAAGAAAATTTGTTGACGGAAAAATGTAACATATTTGTAAAAATGGCATCAAATTGTGCATTTGCGGCTTATAAGTAAAGAAAGAGATGTGTAAACGTGAGAAAAGTTGTATGGTTTGTTGACGGAAATGAAACATATTTATAAAGGACATCAAATTGTTTCCTTTACGGCTTAAGTAAAGTGATTTACTTCCAAATTAGTCTAAAGAACATGAGTATTGAAAAAAGTTGTTCTAAAATTGATTTGTTAGCCAAGAAAAGCTATTACAAAAAGTCATTCGATAATTTATTCTCTTGTTAATCTTTTTAAAAATTTCATCTGATTATTTAAAAATTAAATATTTCAAGCCTAAATTAGAATTTGTTTAATTACTGTTCCTTTTTACAGTATAATAAAAAATGAAGCAAAATTATAACATTATAAGAAAAAAGAGAATTAAGAAAAAGCAACGTTATAAAATTAAAAAGACAAGTTTTTAATTTATAAAATTATTTCTTAGTTCTGTTCTTCAAGAAAAGAACTAAGAAATAATTTTATAAATTACTAGCAGTAGAGCCCGGCGTTGCCCGGGGATGTAACAGTAAGAGATAGATCAAGTATCAACCATCATAAAGACTGAAAAATAAAATTGACAAAGATTATTGTTTAAGGTTGACGGACACACATGTCTTAATTAGTTTTTTTTTTTTTTTTTACGAATTGGTCAAACCCAAACAAAAACATTGTTTTCAATCGTTATGAGTCTACCGATTGAATAGAATTTTATTATAAACAATTGTCTTGTAAATGGAATTTTTAAAGCATTCTGAATGTATTGTAAAAATAAATAAAAAAAAGTGTGCAAAACAATAAGAAACACTACCTGCCAAAAAAAAGTGAAGTTTTGTTGAAATCGGTTGAAAAATGTAGGAAATCCGATCCCATATATAAACGAACACACACACACACACACAAACAAACAACCTGGGTTTTATAAGTACAACTCGATGTAAGTTGTCCTCCTTTCATTCTCGCGATGCCTCTTAATCGTGTTTTCAAATTGATTTCGTGCAAAAACGATTGTGTTTTTCCAATCTTTGGCGCTGTCAGAACCACCGCAAGGTAATTTTACGTAGTCCTGTGAAGTTTTGTTGAAATCGGTTGAAAAATGTAGGAAATCCGATCCAATATATAAACGTACAGACACACACACACACACACTTATTTTATAATAAGTATGATGTGAAGATAAGATGCATTGTAAAGTGACGAAATTTTAAATGTTGAAAATATTTCTAAGAAAATTTACGTCTGTTTAAAAAAAGGTCTTTTTAAACAGATTACCAAATGCGAGATAAAATGTTAGTTTATTTATTTATTTTGTTACAATACATGACATATGGAATAAATATGCATGTCTCTTTTTTTGTTACAGTAAAAAATTTAAGATCTATGAACCCTTTTCTTCTTTGTTTCATTGGAACTAAAGATTTATTTTTAACGCACCGAGAAAAATCGAAGAGCGTTTCCAATATTTTCCTACAAGATGATATTTTACAACCACATCGCCTTTATTTTTCTTTCACTTTTTTTTATAAATACAAAAAATGAAAATTTTCTGAATGTTTTTAAAATATAATTATTATAAATGGACAAATTTATAGAATTTTTTATTTCATAGTGGTTCCACCAACCATTTGAATCCTGATGAAAGGCTTCTTTATTTCTAAAATAGAAAGACTGACACTTTTTAGTTTTATTTATTTTTTTCTAATTTCTTATTTTCATCTTTATTGTTCAATCAAAATCTTCAACTGGAAAACTTTGTAAAATTAAAATAAAAGCAATCGTTCAGGAAAAATATTGAAAGTGAAACAGTCACCGTCGCAACAATGTTTTCATCCTTTTTTTTAGCATATTTTTCTTAAAACGTTCGTTTTTGTTTTTTTTTTTTAAGTTTGGAGTGTAAGTCAAAAAGGATTTCTTTTATCTTTCAATCAATGTTTTTTAAAAAGTATTTTTTTCAGTCTGTCTTCACTCTTCTTCAGTACGTCTTTTAATCATTTACTCATACTTTTTTAAATTTATTCTGCTAGGTATGGTCATAAATATCTCTTTTTATTTGCCTCTTTTATTCGTTATTTTTAAAATGCTTCGTTTTTATACTTAAAAAAAAAAAAATTCACCCTCGATCTCGCTACCGAAAAGTCGTCGTTGTAAACGAGCACAACGAAACATGGAAAACCTGTCTTATCTTTAGTTTAATCTACATAATTTCTATAATTTTCAAATTGTAATTAATTGATAAAAAAAAAAGTACCGAAGCCCTGTGTCAATCTTTTAAATTAAGCAAAAAAAAAAAAAGAAAAATTGACAGACTGTGAGCTTGCCCTGCACCTACAATAATTTCAAATCAAAATAGTACAATTAATTACAAATATTGAATTCAACTGTTTTTCTTTTTCATTTTCACAGGTGCAGTCTAAAAGAAAAACAGTGCTTGATTCATTTTCAAAATCCAAATTTTACAACATAAAATATAAATATGTAATGATTTTCTTTCAGCAACTTTCATTGACGAAAAACAGATACTGTAGTGGTAGTGTAGATGATCTTTTTTTTAATTCCGTTTTTTTCTGTTACGTACACCAAAGGAAAAAATATTTTGCATACACAAGACAATTTGCATTCATTCACTGAATAACTGACTCACCTTGATATTGAGTAATCGATAGATAACAGGTTCAAATTCCAGCATTGACAAATAACCATCTTCATTAATGTCGTACTGTGCAAATAAATTGAGTCCACTTTGGCCAACTGTGGATAAAAGTTCTTCTTTTAAAGCCTCTCTTGTAGACAGTTCAAAGCAGTGCCACCAGTAAGCTGTAAGGATCGAAATCAGAACCCCGGCTAAAAACTTCATTTTTTAAAATGTTAGAAAAACAGACAGACTCTAGCCTTTTTATTTTATTTTATTTTTTTTTTAATTTGTAATTTTCATCTTCTCACTCAACATCTTAGCTTCTCTAACTGAACAAAAAGAAATGTAAACAAAAAAAAAGCTATCGTTCAGGAAAAATACTGAAATCCACTGTAACAATGTTTTTTCAACCTTTAGCAAATTTAATATTTTTCATAAAACCTTCGTTTTTTTAAGTTAGTTAAGAAGCTGAAACTTGCTCCCAAATAGAACCTTAATAAAGGACAAATGCTCTTAACAATTATCTTTTTCTTTTGCTTGTTAAACAAGTTCTATTGCATAAAAAAATCAGCATTAAAAACAGTCTTCTTTCATCTTCATAGATGTAACTTATTCTAAGAATAATTACGATCTAAAAACATAAGCCTCCACTTTGTTATTTGCATTGTTTGTTGTTTTTAAAACGGGCTTTTTCTTCCAGGCGCACGTGACAGTGAAAACAGGCATCACACAACTTGGTATGACTACCGCATTCTCTGTTCTGGGGGAGTGTACTAAGTTGGATGTATCATAATAAAGTCAACAGGAAGAAGAAAATGCGCAGCTAAAGTACTTGCTTTGAAGGAATTAGAAAAGAAATGGGGAAATCACTCTTTCTGACCTACCAACGCGTGAAATGAAATGACCGAACGAATGATCCCTATATTAGTTGTATTACAAAAGGGAGGCAACTTATGAATTATTACTATATAATTGTCTTCCCATTATAAGGAAAACTTACTTTCATCATATAAACAAGCAGAAAATATTGAAATAAAATAATCTGAAGAGGTTAATCATAAACATAATAGAAACAAATTAAAAGATACATTAGCTAAAGAACAAAATTCAGCTCATAATTGATACATCTAATTGGATCTCCTTTTGAGTGTTATGTAAATGTGATAAATACAGTACTTATATCTTGAATTAAATCCTTGTCAGACATCAGAAATGTATTTATGAAGTCTTTCATTTCTTCTTCTTCTTCTTCTTTGTGCTGTGTCCCTTCATGATGTGGGTTATCATATCTTTCCCAAACTTCCTATCCTTTGTAGCCCTTAGTAAATTATCTCTTCTAATCCCTGTTCTGCCAACCATTTAAACAAGCTTGTTTCCTCTGTACCTCTTGCCTTCAATATGTCCTGTGAGTATAAATTTTCCAAGCCCTCTTATGTGCTCTAAAAATTTCAACTCTCATTTTGATGCTACATATACATTCTTTTTGTCCTTTTTGTTTCCATTTTCTCTAAAACTTTGTCATTGCTCACATGTTCAGTCCATCATATTCTCAGCGTCATTCTGTAGAACATTTCTGTAGCCTCAAGTCTCTTCCTCTTCTGTGATCAGATGGTCCAGCATTCACTGCCATATGGGGATACTGATATTACATAATAGTTCTTAATACACATCTTTTGCTATTCTAAAGCATCTTTGGATTTTGGTGTCACATTTTCCAACCTCTGTTAAAATACTTCCTGGATATTTTAATGTTTGCATTTGTTTAAATTTGGTATCTCCAATTTGTAATTTGTATGTTGGGCTGTCTCTTTTGCTGACAACCATAGATTCTGTCTTACAATTGACATATAGTCACTTTTTTTTTGCCACCTTATGTAGGATTCCCTATTCTATTTCTGCTATCAGCACTGTGTCATTGGCACATCTAATGTTGTCATGGTTGTGGCCACCAATAATAAATCCTGGTAGTACTTTTAATTCTCTCAGGATTATCAATATAAAGAAAGATATAGATCTTAATGATAAATATGAATAGAGCATTGAACAGGAGGTGGTAGTGGAAATTTTCATTACATAGTGTCAAGAAAGATCTTATTTTAAGAGCATTCTGGTACACTATAATGCTGGCCAATTAAATTTTGACACAAAACATATATATTACAACCAATCATTGCATGTATCTTTTTCTGGATTCCACTTTACCAAAACTGATAATCAGTAATTGGCTTTGTAGTGAACAACTTACAAGCACTCATTTCCATAAGACTCAGTCATAAATATCCACAAACAAGAATTTGTATTGATTTTTTTTAATTAATTCACTCCAAGCAAGGTGATAATTCCACCAATATGCAAGGAGCTATGTGGAGGGAAAGAGAATGAAATGACTTTAGAAGGAACTAAAACCCAATCCTGAACAAGAAACAAGGAATAAATCTCTACTTTTTTTCAAAAGGCTACAATGGAGGGTGAACCAGCAGATAGGCGAACATGTCTACTCTTATTGAAGAAAAAAATAAATAGCAAATAAAATAAAATTTCAGTATTTAGGCAGAGATGTTAGAAGTATGGAGTTGAAGTAGACTTTAGAAGATACTGGAAACCCAATCCTCAATGGGAAACAAGGGATGAACCTCTACTTCTGTTCAAAAGACCAGGAAGGATTGAGCTATAAATGAAATCTGGTTTACTCAATTCTACCTATCAACATTCAATTGAACATTGTGAACTTACCATTTCTTATCAAGTAATTTTCATGAAAACACATTAAAAGGTGTAGGGATAAAAAATAATTATCTACCCTTACATATAATGTCATGTGATAATGCTGAATGAACAGCAATATAAAACTGAGCATCTGGCCAACTGATCTCTCATGGTTCAAGAAATACCAGCTCTACATTGCTATCTCTAGTGAAATACTGTGACATTCAAGTAAGAGTCTTTTTCTTTCTTTTATCAGCATTTTGCCTTGCTCATTATTCCTAGTGTGTAATAATTTATATGGCAACATGGACAACTTATTTTTTAATACTTCCTACTAATTCCCCATCCCATTTGTATGTTTGTGTATAAATGTTGTATTGCACACATAGCTTGGAGTCCTCTTGTCTCTTCATGCCATTCTATTTCATTGTTAGTTAAGTCAATCAGCTCTACTAATGCTAAATAAGGATTATTGAGTGAAATATTTCTTTTCTTTCACCAATCCTTACAAGGGCAATAAATATTCATTTGTTATTATTTTATCTTGGTATTCATCTTCTTTTACACACTGGTGATGATTCCTACACAACCACAAATTGATATCCCCAATAAAATGACAATGCTACAAAATCTTGAGATGTATAGTTCAATTTTCTATTACTCAGTCTCATTAATATTTTTTCTACACAATCCATAGAAAAATGCTGCTTTTAAAATAAATTTAAGGTTATATTTAGATTTTAATACTGAGCTGAAACAAAATTTAGTAGTATATTTCAAAACATAGTGTTTAAAAATGTGATTTCATTTCACATATGACTGAAATTTATGACATATATACATATTTTGAAAGGTGTCATTTCACTGTATCTTTCTATACAATCCATATGTAGATTATGAATATTAAATAGCAAAAAAGATATATACCATTCATGGAGATGGTACCATAGATGAGAATACTGTTCATAAGTGGTTAACTGAGTTCAGAACTAGAAATTTTCATCTGGAAGACCAAGAACATTCTAGCAGACCTGTAGTCATTGATGATGACCAAATTGAAGTGCTCAATAAAAAATAATCCAGGTCACATGATATTAGATAACACATAGATACTTCAGACATCTTATATGAATGTTGTAAGGCATTTGAAAAGTCTTGGATATGTGAATTGCTATGATGTTTGGATGCCTTATCATTTAACTGAAAAAATATGATGGACGATATTTCTATCTGCAATTCTCTTCTCAAATGCAACAGAAATGGCCCATTTTTTAAAAGAATAAACACAGGTGATAAAAATAGATTGTTTACAACAATGTGGAGTAAAAAAAAAAAGGTACTTGGAAAAATGAAATGGGCCACGATTAACCACCTCCAAAGGCAGTCTACATCTGAAGAAGGTGATGCTTTGTAGCTGGTAAGATATTGTATATTACAAGCTCTTTCCACAAAATCAGGTATTGAATTCAAACAAGTACTGTTCCCAACTGAACTAATTAAAAGTAGCAATTGATAAAAAAGTGTCTGAAATTGGCCAATCAGAAGGGTGTAATTTTCAATCAGGACAATGCCAGATTTCTTTGCAGACTGAACAGAAATTATTACAACTTGGCTGGGATGTCCTATTACACCTGCCATACTCATCTTGCATCTTTAGATTACCCTTTATTTCAATCCCTACAAAATTCTTGTAATGGGAACAACTTTTTCTCTGAAAACCTATGAAAAAGCTCAAGACCAGTTCACCACCGGATGCCAAGTTCTGGGATAATAGAATCATGAAGTACATCAAATATAGCAAAAAGTAATGGAACATCATGGCACATATGTCATTGAAATGTACTTAAAAATTCCTAGAAATCTTTGTTCTAACCCAATAATTTAGTTTCCATCTCTCCTAAATTAACAGGTTCTTGAAGTATTTTTAATAATTTATAACACTTTATGACAATTTAAACAAAATTTTCAAGTTTGCATTAAATTAAAATAGCTCTTGGGCCTTGCATTGGGTGAACATTTACTAATGTTCACCCAATGCAAGGCCCAAGAGCCACTCAAGGAGGAGGGTTACTGTGTGGTTTTATATTAGCATAAGAAAGGGCAAGAAGTGAAGATCTTGGGGGTTATGCAGGAAAGATAACAGCTAATTGTAGACTTGAAGAGATCAAGATTTAAGCCCAGGCAGAGACATTAGAAGTATAATGTAGAAGTAGACTTTAGAAGGAACTGGAAATCCAATCCTAAATAGGAAACAAGGGATAAACCTCTACTGCTGTTCAAAAGACTGGGGAGGAGTGTGAACTGGACAATAGGTGACCATATCTACTATTAATACCCATAATTAAACT